TTTTATTTGTGTACTTATGTATGGATGGATGTATTTATGGTACTGGGGTTTAATTGAGAACCTTGCACGTACTAGGCAAGTGCTCTACAACGGAGCTACATCTTTTCTCTTTATTTTACCTTACACATAGTTCAGTCATATATGTAACTATGCAACATTCCAATTTTATAAACCGGAAGAAACAGACAGGAATCATGACACTGATCTGGGAGAAAAGGGAGACCATGAGGTGATCCACATTACTGACCACAGGGTACCTAATGAAAGAGGGTTGAGAGGAAAGACAGGATGGGCTCAAGGTAGTTCATTTACAGCCCTCCTGAGGGAAGTTCACCTTGTTTAGGCAGACACAGTAGAGGCTCATTGAGAGCCTTGAGTAGATGAAGCAGGAAGATTAATTTGGTGGGAGCATTGAGATGCGTGCAAAGATGATGATGTAGAAATGAAAGGGAAGGCTCTCCTTCCAGGGCTGTCAGGGGTACTTGGATGAAGAGTGTGTTACCAGCCCGCCTGGGGTCTGTGGACATTTCCCTCCCAGTCCAGTGTCTTCCAGGCAGATGTGTTTCTGTGCCTTCCCCTTTGGTTCTACCTCCATCCCCAACCCACTGCTGCCTGGGGCAGCTGAGGTGCCATGCCGCTCAGAGTGGCACAGTCTGCTCTTTCAGATTGTGCAGTATGGGCCGAATTTAAGCTGTTGCGTCATACCTACCTGCAGTGCTGAGTAGGATTTATGTTTAGGTACTTTTCCATCTCAATTCCTCCTGTAACAGATGTCCATGCCAATGGTGTCATCACGAGGAGACATGGAGAGCATCCGCCGCTGCCTGGCTCACAGCCTATTCATGAATACTGCAGAGCTGCAGGCAGATGGGACCTACGCCACCACCGACACCCACCAGCCAGTGGCCATCCACCCCTCATCTGTCCTCTTCCACTGCAAGCCAGCCTGCGTTGTATATACCGAGCTGCTCTACACCAACAAGTGCTACATGCGAGACCTCTGTGTTGTGGATGCTGAGTGGCTGTACGAGGCTGCCCCTGAGTACTTCCGGAGGAAGTTGAGAACTGCCAGAAACTGAGCCACACTCAGGTTCTGCTGGCATGGCTGGTGCCTGGAACTTGGACCACAGCTGTCCTGATCCCTGACTCTCATGTCACCAGCTAGAGGAGCTGTGACTTTCAGTGCAGCTGAATGTGTTCGACTTCACCTTTGCTGAAACTCCTCTGACTGAACTATGTAGATGTGTACATAATATTTATACCATGGGCACTTTTCGCTATAGGTTTTTGCTAGGTGACTTTGGGTAACTTGGTTAATTTCAGAATCTCAGTTTCCTATCTGCCAGGAAAGGGATGGGATTACTAATAATATTTGCTTATAGAGGTAAGGTCATAAAGTTTAGAGAAAATGAATGTACAGTTACCCAGAGTTTTGTTTGGTATAAGGTACACATGCAATTGTGGCCAGGCATGGTGGCTCACCTGTAATCTGCTCGGGCAGTAGAGACTGGGAGGTTCATGGTTCAAGGCCAGCCCAGGCCTTGAGATAACTCCATCTCAAAAAAATAAGGCTGGTATCATGGTAAAGGCCACGTGGTATCGTGATCTAAGCCACATGGGAGGCAGTAGGAAGATAGCAGTCTGAGGTTGGCCCTGAGCAAAACATTGGAGTCCCTATCTAAAAAAGAACTAAAGCAAAAAAGGGCTACGGTTGTAGCTCTCTAGTGGTAGAATACCTGCCTAGAAAAGTGGGAGGCCCTGAGTTCCAACCTCAGTATATACTGGTGAATTGATTATATTTCTGTGAAATAATACAACAAAGTCCCCTGAGTTCTTGTGGCCAAGGGTACTTAGCTGCATGTAGCCATAGGAAGTCAGAGAGCTTGGATATATCTTTGTGTTTTTACCCAGTGCTGGGGATCTAATCTAAGACCACACACATACTAGGAAAACGCTCTGCCACTGAGCTGTCTCCAGTCCCTGACTGTAATGTCTACCTGTACAAAATTTTAAAATAGAAAACACAAGATGCTGACTTTTGTAGACATTCCAGGAGGGAGATGCTGGAGATTACCTCCTGGGATAACCAACATCATGTGACAAGAGAGGAGCAGGCATCTCAGCTGCGGTACTCTCCACAGTTTATTGCTGCTAGGGAAAGATGCTATAAGTTTTTAGCTAATTACCAAAAGCCAACAACCACTTACGTGTTGGTGCATACCTGTAATCACAGATTTGAGAGTGTGAGAGGAGTGGATCTTGAATTAAAGACCAACCTGGGCTACCTAGTGCGACCTTGTCTCAAAGTTAAAAAAAATATATATATATATTCTCAGAATGTTGGGGCCTAGAAAATGCCACATTTAGCCCTTTTGTTTTCCTTGGTTGGTCCAAACATGTCTGTGACATAAATCTGTCATTTACAAAATCTTTTATAATACAGGGGCCCAAACTATCTACAAGGCACTGCAAACACAGTAGATACTAATCTCTTAACTCTTTGCAGAGATCACAGCCTTAGGCATCTCCATTCCAGGGTTTCATTGCTCCACAGTTCTATAGTAAGTCTGGTCCCATCTATTTATAACTCCAGCCATGGTGTGGAGTAGTCAAGCTTTTAAGTGTTTAGAGTTGCTTGGCACTTATTTATTTCCGTTAGAAATGGTTAACATTTAGATCAGATAGGATTTGACACATCCTGTAAAATTCTTATCCTTGAACTGTTTTATTCTTATTTTTTTTCCCACATACTGGCTTGTTCTTACCATTATTCACATGCTGAAAATTTCCCCAGAAAGGTATTCTTAGTTTATTTTTCTAACTCATACTACAGGACTAGGATATTCAGCCTGTGTTAGTAAAAGAAAATTCTGTGTTTTTAATAGAATATCCTGCTGGTAAAAATTGGAAGGGGGGGCAATTTATTCCTCATTAGTCATTAGTTTATGTTCCTCAGCAAATTCTACATGTTCTCTCTTCAGAAAACTTAATTTAGAGCAATGTATGGCCAATTTAAGTACTTGAACACTTCCTAGAGTATCTTCTTTGAGGAGCAAAGAAAGAATACAACTTCTAAGTAGCTTTAATTTTTCTGTATGGAAATATGTTTATCATAATATTGTGATAGGGTTTTAATATAGTAGTTTTTTATTGGGCTTTTAAAAAGTTGCTTTTAAGCATAGCTGCTCAGGGATTAAATCAGATGGAAAACCCATTCTGACTCTACATATTACTACAAGGAAATCAATAGTTACATTGAGCTTCAGGGAACGAAATGTTTTATAGTTGTATTGCAGTAAAATCTTGAGGTACCCTTTCAATTGGTGAAATCTCTTATGATATCTGTCTTATTTCTATCCTGTGAAATTTCTATCTGGATAAGTCACTAGCTCCCATATGCAGCTTTATGTAAGTAGATGCTTTCAGAGCAGCCCTGCATGCCTCAGGTATTTGCTGCCAGTAATCATGGCATGTGAAACACCAAAGTCACATTTCACTACTGGGGATGGGACTGCAAACACCAGGTCCTTGGTGAAAACAATGCTGCATCACTGCTAGTTTTGAGCAGATGCCAAAATGGGAGCAGAACTGATTAGTTACTGTAAATCTACGTAAACCAGCCACTAAGAGCTGCTTGGAACTACAACCATGAATCTAAAATGCTATTCCTTAAGCACATATGGTACAATGTAGTTGCACAAATGGAAATATAACTTGCAGAAGAAACTGAAGGGATGGGGAGAAACCTGATTCAGGTCTGTAATTGAATCTGGTCTTATTCAGACATAACTTACAGAAATATCACTTCTTGTATATAATGCTCAGATTTGCACTTGACTATGAAATCCTTAAAAAAATGAATCTTGTCCATGATATGTGTGATTTCTTTATTGGGTCACCTTTCTCTTATAGAAAGCTGTTCAGGTAATACTAGTGTTATTGTCAGTAACCATCATATTAACATTGCCAATTAGATTTTCTTAGTGCCTTAGATGATTCTTATACTAAATCTGATACTGTAACCATAGCTTGTTGCCTTCAGAAAAAGTTCTTCCACCAGAACTTGCATTCAGATATGGAGGGTAAGCCGGGTTCCTGTGGCTCGCACCTGTAATCCTAGCTACTCAGGAGGCTGAGAGCTGAGGATCGTGGTTCAAAGCCCAAGCAGGAAAATCAGTGAGACTTATCTCCAGGAAACCATCAGAAAACCTCAAGTGGCGCAGTGGTTCAACTAGCAGAGCCCTAGCCTTGAACTGAAGAGCTGAGGGGACAGTGCCCAAACCCAGAGTTCAAGCCCCACGAAGACACACACACACAAAACCCTGAGAGGTGCAGAGAGAGGTCACCAAAAACAAATCACATCTACCCTGGGGATGTCACGGCCTGCGTGGGCGCCGGGAAGCCGCTGGGTGACTCGCAAAGCCATACCCCTCAGCCTCCAGGCTAGAACGAGGGGCATCCACGAGGATCCCTGAGGACAGGGCTTCGGGTCTGGTCTGGGGCCGCGAGGGACGACCGGAAGGCGTTCCACCAGGTCCGAGAGCGGAAGTGGGGGAGCGCGGCCCCGTCCACGCCGAGGAACCCCGAGGTCACCAGGGGGTGGTGCGGTCCGCAGAGAACGCAGTCAGGCAAGCGCCTGAAGTGCTTCCGGGGCAAGGGCGGGCTTCCGGTGGCGCGCGCGGTCACGGGACGTCTCGGCCGGGGTCGTCCTTCGCGCCCGCACGTGCCGGCCGCCGCCTTCGCAATGCTTCCTCTGCTGCGCTCGG